TAAATTTTAAAATTTCTAGTATCAGTTTTGAACGTTAAAATACTAAATTTAATCTTTATTATGCTAGATTAATTCTTACATTTCTATTGTATTCCTTGTTTTTAAAAACTCATCGATGTGCTGGTGATAAATATTATCACTTTCGTAATAAAGCAAGCAAGTTACACATTCTCTATAAAATGAATAGACAAAACTAACGAAATGAATATTTGAAGGATACGTTGCTAATGATATAATATAGAGAAGAATTCAAGATATATCATCATACAATTGCTCACATTTAAGATTGTTCTGAGAGATGTAAAAAGACAAGTTTGTGAACCAATGTCAAATTAACTATTGTTGCTATTTCAGAATTCATACGACAACAATTTTTAAAAAACTTCAAGATGAACACTGCATCGGATGGTCTAGCCCATGTGAATACAACTTCAACAATGTCAATATCTGAACGAAATTTCAAGTTCTATTTACTCCTCATTATGCATATCCCATCATTATGTTGCACAATCTTTATGTAAGTTTTCTCTTCAAATCAAAGTTCACTAAACATTATTTACAGTTTATATCATTTCAAATGGAATCATTTAGCTAGCCAAATTTTTGGTATTTTTCTGATTGTCAATGCTTTACTTATTCTTGTCGAATTACCATTTACACTTATGTATTTGCATTATGGCGTTGTACACAATGAAAGTATCTGTTCAAGTTGGGTCTTAGTTAATTATTCGTTATTTATCTTGAGTACAATCCTAACTGCATGGACATCAATTGAACGTTATCTATTTATTTATCATGAACATCTCATTATACATTATCGAATGGTCTTACATTATATTCCTATTGGATGTTTTATGTTATATACACCTTTATTTTATGTTGCTCTAGTAATATTTTATCCTTGTCAACAAGCTTATAATGTTAATAGTTATATTTGTGGTGGCCCATGTTATCTTTTCGAGAGCATTCCATGTTTTATTGATTGGGGTATTAATGTAGTCTTGGTATTGTTTATTACATGTATTATAAACGTGATATTGATTGTTAGTAACATAAAGCAAAGACATCGGATGAAAACATCCATTCTCACAGCAGGAAAAAGTCAACAATGGGTAAATTGAATTAAATTCATTACTATTATTTTTGTAACGAATTATCTTTCATTTAGCGTCGTACGATGAAACTAAGCTTTCAACTATTTTCAATTCCTACACTTTGTGCGATTGTATGGATTCCATATGGTATTGTTTCTACAATGCGAGTTTTTAAGGATACAGAATTGTTGAGTTATCTTCTCTCGACACATATGATCTATTTTCCATACATACAAACAATGTTTTTACCTTACATGTGCCTCTTGTTCGTACCTAAGATCAAAAAGAAATTATTTAATGCATTAGTTTCATAGTGTTGCTTTAACAAGCCACTTCTCAATATTGAATTACATATTCTAATATTGAACAAATAAAAGTATCATTCATTTTTTTTGTTTGTCCTAACAAGTTCTTCATAATATTTTTGAAATTAAATATATATATATATATATATGATGAAATCGGTTTGCGGGGTGTGAGTGTGAGTGTGAATGAAGTGAAGAATCACACTCACACCCACATCTACACCTACACCCTCACTCATATCTGACCTAATTTTAACAATGTGTATCGGTAGCATTGCGTACCGAAAGAAGAAAAACGAAAAAATAGCTAATGTATGGGCCGCATAACAACTACTTTAAGATAAATCATATAAATTATGATGAAAATGATAATCAGAAAAGAAATGTTGGAAGCAAAAGTTTTTTGTACACCAACTGCAACAAATAGAGGGAGACGATTCACAACAGCTACCATTGCCTGAAATGTTATGAAATGTAAAGCACACTTGTTTAACAGTTAGAAAAGAACCGGGATGATCGTCTATATATCCACTTGCGTGCCATGCATACTGTAGCATTTTTTGAAAAACAGGAGCACATAGCTGATTATAAATGAGAGATTGGCTACAAATGATAGAATTACGTTCACTTAAATTAATATCAAGACCATCAAGTAGTACTCGATCGAACATACGACGAGCAATATATTTGTGCTGATTATTGTAAAATAAATCCAACAGCTGAATTTGTGTGGTGGTATGTTTAGGTAATTCAAGCCGATAAAGTTTGTTAATATTGTCGTAAATACCTGTAATGTTACTTTGACCAGGCCAGCAGTCAGAGATGAGAAGAGTATGATGAGAAGCAATGGAAGGAAGTAAGACATTATCTCGCCAAAATTTCACAAGATCAGTCGTGAGTTTGCCGGATTTACTACACGATACTACTATATTAGGAGCTTTGAATAGACGACCCTGAAATATTCAATAAAAACCAAGATGTATTTTTCGAACTACACTAATACGAAAAAAAGAGATCATTATATTGAGAATCTTACTCGAACATTTTCACTTAAATAACCAGCGGGTTCTTTTAAACAGAGGAAAAGTGGTCCGACAAGTTTGCCACTGAGGCTGACACATGGTTGCACGGTAAATGAATGTGTGGTCGCATTCTTCGAACGAACATTTATGGCAGTACTTCTTTCCCCTTTAAAAGAAAGGGTTCGAGTTGAATAAAACTCAATTTGAATACGAGATTGATCTGTGTTTATCACATAATCATGATTATATTTTGGTAAAAGATTTCGTATAGTTGATACAAATTCATCAGCAGAATGTTGAACTTCTTCTTTACTTGTTACTTGTTTAGTTGTTATTACTTAAAGCAGAATATTTTTTATCTTTATGTCCAATAAAACAGGAATTTTAAGCTTTCTTCTTGCATATTTTCTCAACGGTTTTGTATTTATAGTTGAGTGATAAAAATACTCTCTATGCGATTAATATTATAAGAAATTGAAAATAAAGAAGTATCTATCTAGTAGAATGAAATTTGAAGGTACGTGAAATGATATAAAAAGAAATCAATTTTTATACAAGTACGGAAACAAATTTTTAAAAAGCAAAAAAGATAAATTTTTTAGTAGATATAGATAATATGTAGTTTTCAAAAAAGTGATTACTCTATTAAAAATAGTAGAGATAAGTTACTCACTTTAGTTAATTTTCTCGAGCATATGTTGTGCTCTATTTTAAAATTAAACAACCATTTTTCAGAAGCAGTAAACTCATGGAATAATTCTTGTTTAGCTTTTTCTAAGCCCCAGCGACGTAAGTCGAGATCATGTACAGGAAGATTAGATTCTCGAGCTTGTTCAAATTTATGATAAACATAATTATTAATATTTTCCCATTTTTGCGTTCTTGTTCCTCCCTTTTCAATATAAGCACGAAAACGAGATATATATGATGAACGTGTAACACGTTTAAATCGACGCTTCACACCCTTCCAAGACCGACGGCGTTTTCCTGTCAACGGATTTCTTTCATCATAATATTCAATAACCTTTTTCATATAATCTAAAGAAAATTTTTGAAGAAGACCATCACTGTCGTCGTTGTCCGTGTCGTTGAAATCAGGATCTAATTCAGAGTCTTCTGATACAGCATATTGATCAATTTCATCTTCGGTTAAATCATCAGAAATGTAATCAAGAGAGATTTCACTTTCTACAGTAAACTTATGACAGTTGATAATTGTATTTAATAATTCAGCTAAATGATTGGTAACCTCTTCTTCACGTGCTGATGGAGATTGAAGACTAATTTTTCTCGGTCCTGTAGATTGAGAAAACTTCTCTGCGAGAAGAGAACATACAACCGATGCATTTATCATTTTTGTCAGAAACGAATAAAATGAATATCAGAAAACCTATACAATATATTTTGTTCTTCTCTTTCCTATACACGTGGTTATAGTTCCGTTCGTTCAAGTAAATTACTTTGGTTTATTTCTTCCCATTCAATGATATATAAAATTCATACATCAAAGATATTCGCTAACACTATATATGTAATTTATCATATAGGTGCCGTTGGAGCCAATAAGATAGGAATGAAAATGAATATACTATTGTGAAAGACTACGATTATCTTACAATTCTAGGAAATACTAGATGTAATGACATATAGAACGATATTATTACTGTCTAAAGTTAATAATTGCATCTTCTCAAGGTTGTCTGAGCTCAAATTCTCACATTGTGTCCTACATGACTAATACTATTTGTGACAAAAATATTGGTTCATTTCCGTATGTATTGTTTGGCATATTATTTTTTGCTGATAAAATAACCCTTATAATTATGATAATAAAAATGCTCTAGCGCCTCAGAAACAAGCCAGAAACCCGAACATTTTTTACCGTAAGCATAACTCACTACGGGCTACAAGATGCATGAAACTCCGATTGAAAAGCGCTCCCGCACCTTGGAAGGTTCCCTAGTAAGAGAACTCTATGAATGCATATGAATTTATTTCTAAAGGACATTATCGATTGATCGTTTTAATTATCTATATGATTCATTATCTAACATCAGCTGTTACAGAGTTGCAACCGGACCGGCAGACCTGACCGGCCGGTTCGGTCCGGTAGAGGGTTCCTTACCGGCTGGTCTGGTCCAGATCGGTAGAAGAATCTTTACCAGCCGGTATGCTGGTCAGTCTGGAGTTTTTATTTCGAGTGTGTACATGTTATTTGACCAAAAAATGGATCATAAAAGTCTTTTTGTCGAAAATCAAACACTTATATGAAGAAATAAATAATGAAAGCACTAAAGAAAGGACTTTTATATCACTCCTGTAGTGACTGAGAGACAGTATGGATTATCGAAGGTTTGATTTGACTGCTATAGGGTCAGAAAAACGAAGAATAGCTAACACCGGTCTACCAGCCTGTCTGGTCCAGTCTGACAGTTTACACCGATACCGGTACCGGTAAGGGAAAAAACGCCACCGGTTCCAACTCTGAGCTGTTACATATACATAAAATCAATTGTTCGAGAGGAATAGCGGCTACCTTTTCTTGCTACTCTTATTTTAATTATCTCAAATGATGAAATGCAGCAAAAATCACGTTTTTGTCGGGGTTCTCCTAAGAAAACGGAAGTTCCTATTAAAAATCCAAAAGTAGACGGTACTAATTCGGTCTTGATATTTTCATTTCTCGTTTGAATGAAAATTTTCTGATGTTGCGTTCCTGAGAACACTCTAACGCAAAATGCGGACATTTTATGCGACGATCGAGAAAGAAAGAAAGAAAGAAAATTCGTGACGGACTACATAAATGCTTTGCTTCGCACCGCATTAAAAAGTGATTTCATTCGTACGTTTGATTATAAGTTTTTATTTTTTGAATGAACACTCATAAAGAACAAAGTTCAAACTGGAAGACATTCAATAATAGTGTCAACAGTGGGAAGTGAAATACAGGCTCTAACGAAAAAGTTCTCACTCTCAACGAGTGCCTGGAATTCCTTTTCGCTTCGATGTCGTCCACCTGTAAGCACGAGCATTGTAAGATCAGATAAGTGACCTGTTTGATTGGATGATGCATTCGTATTATTGAGCATAATTTCAACTATAAGTAAACAGGTCGTGGTAGTGCCACTCATTGCTCGACGACAGTTTCGTAATATTATTCGAGCTTTCTCATCATCATGATCCATGAGTACATGTGACAAGATATATATATCTGCTCCTGATGGAACACTCTCGAATATATTTCCTGAAATCAAAGCATAGCGTCCATTATTATTTTCTTTGAATGGTTGGGCATCAGCTACTACATGTGGTAAATCGTATAGAGTACCACGGAGATGAGGATATTGTTTGAGCAAAATATGCAAAAGTCCACCTAAACCACCACCAACATCAAGGACATGATGTGCATTAGCAAAACCCGTCGTATAAGTTTTCGTGACCTCCACGTGACGAGAACTGGCATTCATACAAGCATTGTAGGTAGTGCAAAAATCGGGTTTGTATTTTTGTTGATATTCAAAGAATGACATGCCAAATTGTGTATCAAACGCTGTTTGACCTGTTCGAATGGTCTGTTCAAGATTTCCAAAAGATTTCCACAGAAATGGATCACCCCACATTAAAGCTGCTGCATGTACCGAATAGGATACAGTGGTCTGAAGACATGTTCTCAATGGTGTGAGAATAAAATGATCTTGCTGAACTTCAGTAACAATCTGAGCACAAGTAAGCGTACGCAATAATCGTTGCAATGCTGCTGGATGAGCACCGGAGGCTGTAGCCAATTCACGCGTAGATTTGGGCATGCCATCTGCGAGTAAATCAGCGATACCTAATTTTGCTGCAACATGAATAGCTTGAGTCATTTGATAACCTCGAAGCATACTGAGCATATGAAAGACATATTGTTTATTCATCGACGTCTCTTGTGTCTCGTTACAATTACTGCTCACCAGCGTTTGTGGAAACTGCTCTTTATTTTTAAAATCAGACATTTTAAAATCTTTCAACTACAACAAAGAAATACCCACGATTCAGAAATTGGCAATTCAAGGCAATTCAAGGCAATTCAAAGAATTCAACATATCTATACAACTTAAAGTTATATACCTTTAAACTATGATGGAATTGAAGAAACTCAAGAAACTCAAGAAAACGAACGAAAACGAAGCAAAATGAAGGAAAATATAGAAATTCAACGAATTCATGACCTTGACGAAATTTTAAATGGTATAGGTTGAAATTGGTATTTGGAGTAAGCAATATTCGGAGCAATGCAATTTCACACTAGACACTTTCGAATGGTTATGACGTTGAAATAGTACGAGGAGATCGAAGAGTCGAGGAAAACTCATTCAATTTGATAAAGTGAAGCGATGTGTATTTTGCTGAATGTATGGAGATGCACGCTCTCATTGGTTTCGAGACTTGCGAAAATTAGAGCATATAAATATAAATGACGTTTAAAATAGATGCATCGTATCCTGTACACGGGAGAGGTCGTATATTGTGAGTAGGTGATGTATTTCAATGAATGAAAGAAATGTGATTATTTGAATGATTGATATTGTTATGAAGCAAAATGAATTGATATACCATTGTGAACGGGTCTGTATTGCAGTGCTGCGTATGCTTTGAGAAGCCTTTCCGGTTTTCCCTCTTCTTGCCTAATGCGGTCAACTCTCTTCCGCTCATCCTCAGCGTGTCTGATGTGGTCAGTTCCCTTTCGCCTTCACCCGTAGCTTGTCTGATGTAGTCAGATCCTGATCGCCCTCACTCTCAGTATATCTGATATAGTCAGTTTCCTTTTGCCTTCACCCTCAGCGTGCCTGATGCGGTCAACTCTCTTCCGTCTTCACTCTCAACTTTAGGTTATATAGATATGTTAAATTTCTTCAATTAGTACATTTTCGTTGAATTTCCTTGATTTTCTTGAATTTCTTGAATTTCTTGAATTCCATCATTGTTAAGGGGTGTATAGGTTTGAGTAATATATGTGTTGAGTTCCTTGAATTGCTACATTTTCCTTCATTTTCTTGATTTTCTTGAATTCCTTGAATTCCATCATAGTTTAACCCTTTCAGTCCCGGTGGGATATATATTTCCCACCTAACGAAAATTTTGTATTTTTCAAAAAATTTCAAAATTATTTGAGGTTTTTAAGATCTAGAAGGAATATTTTCAACAAATATTCGTAGTTAAGATACATTTGTGAAGGATTCCATAGATATTCTTGTGAATAGAGATTATCGATTAGTGTATCGAAGCGTGTTTATGTGATTTTTCAAAGTTTTCCTCAACAATCCAAATTTTTTAAAACTTGTGTTATGAGTCATTGAGTCGTGATGAAATTTATACAGGAAAAAACAAAGAACGATCTTCGTCATTAGGAGAGCATATAGTTATGTCATTAGT